GTGTGTGTTTGTTTGTTTGTTTGTGTGTGTGTGTGTGTGTGTGTGTGTGTGTGTGTTTGTTTATAACCAGCTGTATATAAACACAATTAAAGTCTATGCAATGTCCCCATTTGAATAAACAAATCTGGACACAAATTGATAGACAGGCATCTATTTTTTGTTACATTTTGTTGAAATATTTTGTTGAAAATATCACTGTTATTTAATATTTGTTTATTTGAATTTATTTAAAATAAATAAAATACATTTTCATTTATTTAAAGGAGGAAAACTAACGTGGAATCTTATAAAGTGCATCTACTTTTCAGCTAATTATTTAAATTATCTATTTTTTGTTACATTTTGTTGAAATATTTTGTTGAAAATATCACTGTTATTTAATATTTGTTTATTTGAATTTATTTAAAATAAATAAAATAAATTTTCATTTATTTAAAGGAGGAAAAGTAACGTGGAATCTTATAAAGTGCATCTACTTTTCAGCTAATTATGTAAATTTTTCCCCTAATTTTTTGCTTTTTTTGCCTTACTGTGTTCGCAGAGACATATATGATATTTTAGTAATATATATATAATGCTTTTAAATATGCTTTTATTTTCAAATTGGATTTTTGTATTCAGTTTAATTTTAGTTTAGTTTTTTTTTGTAATTCTGTTATGTACTTTTTGTGTAATTCTGTTATGTGCTTTTGTCATTTTTATTAATATTTGTTATTTTATATTACTGTTTAATGAATGAATGAATGAGGCATTTATTTAGTGCTTTATTGTATATTGCTGAACACCCAAAGCACTTTACAATCATATGAAGGGGTCTCTCCTTAACCACCACCAGTGTATTTAAATTAAATTATTTTTATTTCAGTTTTAGTTCAGGTTTAGATTTGGTTTATATCCTGTTAGTAATTTTAGTACTTAATTATTTAATATTCATTTTTATAAAAATTAAACATTATTTTATTATTATGAAATACTGTTCAATAGTATTATAGTGACATTTCTTTATTGATTTGTTTAATTTTTATAATGTAAGTAAATAACTCGTGTTTGTGTTTGTGTGTGTTGTCAGGTCACGCGTCTCTGAGCTCGTGTCCGTGGGTTCTGCTGGAGGATCTGTCCAGTGTCTACACTGATGTAGAAGTGGAGCGAAAGCACACACACAAGAAACGCAAGCTGGCCGACGGACGGGAGAAAACCATGGTGTGTCTCATGTGTTATTATTATTATTATTATTACATCAGCATATGCAAATGCATGTGGTGAATGTGACTGCTGTGTGTGTGTGTGTAGAGCTCTGATGATGAGGACATGTTGGCCAAAGGCAGAGGGCGGCACATTGTGGTGAATAAAGCAGAGATGCCGGGTTGGGCCGAGACTTTAGAGCACTTCCGTACGGCCAGAGAGAGCTGGGATCTGCTGCACTCACACCAGAGCCTGGAGACGGGTCTGTCTACGTGTGTGTCTGTCTGTCTGTCTGTCTGTCTGTCTGTCTGTCTGTTTGTGTCTGTCTAACTGTGTGTGTGTGTGTGTGTGTGTGTGTCTGTCTG